TATTATTGCCATTTATATAGCACCAACAGATTCCGTAGCGCTTTACAATATTATGAGAGGGGGGATTAAACTATAAATAGGACAATTACAAGAAAACTTACAGGAACGATAGGTTGAAGAGGACTCTGCTCAAACGAGTTTACAGTCTGTAGGGGATTATATATATAATGTGTGCCCTGATTAGCTGGGTCCAGATATGCCAATTGTACCAATCTCTTCTCGAAGTTTACTGCACACAGACCTTCTGTGCCCCATGACTTATGGGCTGTGACTCCTAGCTTTCCCATCAAGTGTTTCTGTGGTCCACCCTTCTTGTGAAGATGGACTTTATATGTTTGATATTTGTGGGGAGTGTTTTATACATGCATGCAAAGCCTAGTTGCAGACGGAGGTAAGAGGCATGAAACTGAAAGAGAAATTTTGCATTAAAGGGTTACTACAGCCCACTGTACTGGTTACAGTGCTTGGCGTACCTTGGTGCCATTCCCTGGCAATGGGGCAAACCATTTTACATGCACAATGGTATGCCCACTTACCTGGGTCCCACAGGGCTCTGGGTCTCCTGTGCAGCAGGCTTACAATATCTGTCTTCTGCAGAGCTCTAGAAGCCAGACGCCAAACCCACTGATTGCTCTCAACCAATGATTGGTATTCTCTGCATATTCCAGACTGACCAATGACGCCCCAATGATGCTGCCAAAGGAAGAGTTGCACCTCTGGAAGCAAATGGGTTAAGCACTGTGTATGCAATGTTTCATAGTGAAATGCTGCTCGTAAAAACTCCAAGTACCATGACTGCTACAAATTACAGAAATGGTCATGGTGCTTGCTCCTTTAAGGTCCAGCATGATTATCAACTCAAAACCCATGTATACCCTAATTTACTGTTGCTGGTGAGACTTTTAAACGTTCAGCTTCTGCCAATGGTCACATAACAAAGGTAGTAAATACAAGGTCACATTGGGTCCTGGGGAGCCAGTTTTTTTAATATACGTGTTTGGAACGCACCAAACTGGATTTTAAATTCACATTTAAGAAGGGCACATAGATAGTCAATCAGTGATAAATCTCATTGAAACTCTACTATATTTGGAGCAAAACAGATTTATCTGAGCTCGTAGTGATAACTTGGTGAATTTTGCTCATTTACTGCAAATTGACAGATTCTTATCAACAGGAAATGCTCAACAATCACAACTCTTCCTGGAATGCAGGGTTAGATTATCACTTAAATTAGATTTATATCACAAATGAAACCAGATAAAATTGTATAGATTTACTAACATGAAAGAGAAAGTTACATTACACCTCTATTGATACATTTAATCATAAAACATTATTATACAACATTGCAATTATAGATACACTGTTTGACACAATAATGTAATCTTTTCTAGTGAGTCGTAGACTTCAACCACTGGAGGGCAGCATAATGCTGCTATTGATGGGCTGAGACTACCAGAAGTTTTACCTGTGATAATTACTGTATAAATAATACTTTTCAAAGAGAAGTCTTAATTGCAAGTCTTAAATTACTGGAAATTGGATACACCAATAGTTTATTAGTAGTCATTAGAAACATACAAGCACACTTACCCTTTAAAACACCAGATATTGCTTTTGCAGGTTGAAATAAAATCTCTTTAAATCTGTTTTAGATTTGGTATACTTCTTATTTCTATCCTGGCTTTGAGTTTGTGGTTTGGATTTTTTTTCTCGAAGTTAATTGGGTGTATTTACAAACTACATATGCTAATTGACTTTTATATTAATATTAAATAACGGAATACAATATACAGGGTTGTTCACTGAAGTAGGAATTGGCAAAGTGATTAAACATTTTAGTCCGCAAAAGCCAAGTTAAAACTGCATACATTCTGCCCACCTTCTGTTTCAAGCTTGCCTCGCTGAAATAGAAACATAGAATGTGACGGCAGATAAGAACCATTCGGCCCATCTAGTCTGCCCAATTTTCTAAATACTCTCATTAGTCCCTAGCCTTATCTTATAGCTAGGATAGCCTTATGCCTATCCCACGCATGCTTAAACTCCTTAACTGTGTTAACCTCTACCACTTCAGCTGGAAGGCTATTCCATGTATCCACTACCCTCTCAGTAAAGTAATACTTCCTGATATTATTTTTAAACCTTTGTCCCTCTAATTTAAGACTATGTCCTCTTGTTGTGGTAGTTTTTCTTCTTTTAAATATACTCTCCTCCTTTACTGTGTTGATTCCCTTTATATACTCACTAGTTTTATTTTTCTGTTGTACAGCGCTGCATAATATGTTGGTGCCTTATAATAATATAAAAAATATTAAGTAACTTCAAAATGTAGAGTCTGATTTCATTGAATTGGAGTTGCCAAAGTGACAACTGTGCAGAATGTTTAACTACACTTTTTGCTCCGATCTGGAAAAGAAATAACTAAAATAAGTAATTTTGCAGTATATCATCTGGGTAATAAATTGTGCATACAAAAAAAATCACTGTCAGTAGCCTTTATCTGTAAATCAGTGGGTGGTCATTTTCAGAATGCGGTGCTATATCATTATTTACAGGGAAATCATGACCCTTAAATTATCTTTATTATCTATATCCAAGAGGCAGCATTTCCCAGTATGCTTATATGTGATATACTCATTTTTATTTATAAATATTTATTGAAGACACTCTGGACCCTCCTGCTTTCAATGCATTACCTGTTGGACATTACTTCTCTTGGTGGGGAATATACCACCTAAACTGTTTGTATTGAGCAAAACCTAATTTTGCACCATTTTTGTAAGTTATTTTTATTTTATTTGCACTAAATAATATCACAGAATGAACCATTTTTTTTTATTTCTGTATTGTTGCATACCACATATACGGAGAGGACTTGCACTCACCAGTGTTATATCACTCCACGCCATGTGTTACGAGCCAACACATAGGCTCCACACAATGTGAGTGCATTTCCATTTTATTTTATCCATTTCATCCAGATATACTACTCCACATTAGGCTCTCTGTATGTTTTATACTTTTATAAACATTGCCAGACTGGTGATTGCATCAGGGAGCTCACAAGAATCCACAAGCGGGGATTGTACCACTCAAACTCATAGAAGTGGAGCTTTCAAGAGCTCCTAAAATGTGTAAGTGCATTTCTTACTTATCCTTCCATTGTGCTAAGAATACTAAACTACATATTTCTCCATCTTCTGATTTTTGTTACATATACAACCGGAAAATACTGTAAGGCTCTACCCCTCTCTTCCGGTACAAGCATTGTATGTTTTAGGCCAAAATATTCAAATTCTAAAAATTATTCAGCCAGATATTCTTTCAGCGTGGCATTTTGCTCCAAAATACCTGGTTCTCATGTCACGTTGCACAGTTTTATAAAATCAGTATTGACTCTGGTGAAATATTATGACTGATAGACTTGGATATTAGGATCAGTCAGAATCGAAATTCAGGAGAATTTCGACCAAATCTGTGCCATTTTGAATCACAGAATTTCAAATCGAACTTTGACACATTAGGCACCTTTATTCCTTCATTTTAGGGCTTACCTGGCAATTTTTAGATAGAACCAAAATTTTTCAAAGCAAACCAAAATTTTGAATTGAACCAAAAACTTTAAAACCCAAATTCTTCAGATCCGAAAGTCTTTTAAATTGAGAACTGCATCAATTTGGAAGAACCCAAAATTTTTACATGTACAAGTTTAATGACAAATACAAATTCTCAAACACTTTTATTTTATCTGAGAGGCCAGATATGACACCATTTGCTGCCACAAGAATACACAGATTCTTACAAATGCTGGAACTGTATTTACCAGGGCAATGTATAAATACACCTTAAAACAGGGGACGCCAAAATGTATACCCTCATCCGCCCCAGCTATTACCTATTTTTATCCACCTCTATTTTCCACATGGGATGCTAAGTGATGGGACCTTCTGCATGGTGTCTATCAGCGTGATTTCAATACTTAGACACACTACAACTAGGTATGTTGTACATGTGTTGAATAGATGTTTTATATTTTTAACCTGTAACACAGGCTGTGTGCAGAGTCTCTGCAACTGAACTGTGAGTTGATCTTCTCAACTGGTCCAGTGTAAAAAACACGACCGTGCCACAGTCACCAATGGCTTTGTGGATGTCCCCCTGGATCGGCCGGTGAATAATGTTCCACTCCTAACAAAAAACATATAAAGTGATATCTATACATGTTAAAACAGCATACTGTATCAATTCTGCCTGCATTCAGCGAGGCTACACAGTCACCCAAGTCCTGTAATAGATAGAGAGCGTATAAAATCATTGGCAATTGTCATTCACACACAGCTGTATGGATCCTATAATTTCATTATTAGATAGAAATTCTCATATTTTGTAGCACTATCCCTTTTAACAGAATACTCTGATAGTATTTATAACATAGGGATATTTTAGAAATAAATATGTTTAATAATTTTCTTTGGAAAATATTTTAAAATGTACTTTATATCCATGTTCATTAGCACTGCATGCATCTATTATTATTATTAGCATCATTTATATAGCGCCAACAGATTCCGTAGCGCTTTACAATATTATGAGAGGGGGGGATTATTATGAAAACAACAGCGGTTTATCAACCCAGCATGTATTAAAATCTAATCAATGTATTCAATGGATTCATTTAACTCCTTATTGTAAATATTGCTAATACAAGATATATATTTTTCCTTCAAAGAACATAAGTATATCTATATAGACAATCTCAGTACCCTATTCACTTAGAACTTTGTAGAATCCTTGTGAATAATAAAGGCATTTGGCAGACCCCAGACTCCCCACACAATAGGCATCCCCCTGCACACTCACACACATTGCAGTGTGTGTTTGTATGCTGTGTGCATTGCTTCCTCCCCCCTCCCTGTTTACTGAGGGTGAGTGGGGCAGGGTTTCCAGACTCAGACAGCCAGCCTTCCCTCACTTGCTCCTCCTCAAGCCTCTAACAGCTCTGTGTGAATGAAGTGGAGCTCACTCGCAGAGCAGTGCTGAGCACAGTAACCCCGTCTGCTCCTCCTTCCTCAGCAGTCCATGTGCCCTTCACCAAACCTCAAGAAAAGCCTCAGAGCTCATCCGCTAGCCCGGGATTACTGAGCAGCTGGCCCACACAGCCCAAAGCGGATCTGCAGTGCCCTGAATGAACTGGCACAGGCTTTCCATCAGTTCTTGCGGGAGATCGAAACGTTGACACAAGTTGTGGATCTCGCACCCACTGTCATGATACCCAGTGAGCTGAGGGTGAGTCTGACTTCCCCAACGTTCTATGAACAGAATTCCAGTAAGTTGCAGGATGTATCAGTCACTTCTGGAAGTTACTCACAGACCCCAGCGATCTGTCTGCAGGGGAGGGGGGGATATTATGCCAATATTTCTAAATATGCATGGCAGCATCCTATTTATTATTTTCCACTCATTGTTTTGTTTATAATTGATGTTATATTTCTGTTAAAGAATAATCTAAATTAAAATAATGACAAGAAATACAAAGCAGCCTGCATCTTAATTTATGTTAACAGAGCTTTATTGGTTTATAACTGCTTTAAAATAAGAGAATGAATAAGGGATGAATATTTCCACTATAGCTCTCAAGCTGTGCAATGCATAATGTGCCTTTCCTTGACAGGTAAAGGGTTAATAAATGATTAATGATATCTCCTATCTTCCCAATAGCCAACCCAAAAAGGTGATTGCATGTTTGTTTTGATATCTGTGTACACAGACAGAGCATGCATGTTTGCAATGCAAATATATGTTGATCCCTAATGGCAACTGTCTTCCAAAGTTGTTTTAACGTGTGATCACGAGCAAATGCGGGAGATTTACTTATTTGTAATTTAAATTAAAATTTGCATGTTGCTATGTGGATGCAGAGCCTTGCAAATGAATGAAAGTCGTGCAGGCAGCATGTTGCATTGGTCAGACCTGTATATTCTGCATGGGCAATGTACTAAAGGCAATTAATACATCCTAGTCACAAAATAACACCCAGCTGGTGTTGCAATGGTTAAGGGGTTATTTCACAATGCAAGTTTAAATGTTACGTTGTTTGGTTATGAAATGGTTATGTTTACATTAATGATGCCTTAGGTTCTTTGGTCATGCAAGGGTTAATGTTATATCACTGCATTGCTATATAATGCAATTCCTTAGAATATACCGAGGTTGCTAGGTTCTCTGGCAATGAATGGGTCAAGGTTACATTTCTGCTGCATAATGTTGCTAGGTTAATACTTTTTTTTAGAGTTCTTTGGGGTTGCAAGGGTTAAGATTACACTGCTGTTTCCTAGATCAGTTGGGATTTTGAGGGGAATACACAATTTTACCTAGTGATGCAAGGGTTAATGTAACATCTCTGCTACATAATATACATAATCCTTGGTTGGTTTTAAGGGTCTCTGGTGATGCAGGGGTTAAGTTTGCATTGCTGCTACATAATGTTGCTTCTAACAGAATCTCCTGTGTGTCTGAGTGTGTGTGTGTGTGTGTGTGTGTGCTTTGTTCATGCCAGTAATTGCTTAGCCCTGGGCTGCCCTGTGTGTGTTTGTGTGTTGAAGGTCTGGTTAGTCATTTCATAGACTCAGGCTTCCAATCCCCTCACACTCCCTCCACGTGCTGCATGTACAGCTGTCAGGCTGTGTTAGGAGGTAGAATGCCCCAGTACTGAATGGAAGGTACAGCTCCATCACACTGACAGGCTGCATGTCCTGACATGTATATACTGGATGGATCTAGCAGTGAAAAAGGGACAACAGCATGTCTAACAGCTCTGATCAAAAACACACTCACATCCCTCTAAGACATACAGTATGCGAGGTTATGATCCACAACACACTCACATCCCACTAAGATATACAGTGTGCCAGGTTCTGATCCACTACATACTCACATCCCACTAAGATATACAGTGTGCCAGGTTCTGATCCACAACACACTCACATCCCACTGAGATATACAGTATGCGAGGTTCTGATCCACAACACACTCACATCCCACTGAGATATACAGTATGCGAGGTTCTGATCCACAACACACTCACATCCCACTAAGATACATATGAGGTTCTGATCCACAAGCATGTTATTCACAAAACAAGGAACTGGGGAAATCTGCAAATTACAGATTTGTAAATGTGCTCTAAATGTATTTTTTTTTTTTTTTTTTACATCTTTAATTAATCTCCCAGCAAGATACAGTGGGCTACTTTTTAAGCTGAGTCAGCTATGCCTCAATGCTAAGACAATGGCAATCAACATGTTGGTCTACAACTCCCATCATCCTCATCCTGCCATGCTGACAGATGTTATTGACACTCCAGTAGCAATAAATCCCCGGTGGTGTCTTGATGTGCCATTCCAGATAATCCCATTGTCTCATTTTGTTGTCACTGTGTATGGATGCCCATTGAAAACAATGTGTGCTTTGTTGCCTTGTTCGGATATGGGCCAGATCTACTAAATGGTGTGATGCCAGGTGGAGTTTTTAAAAGGCTTTGTTCCATGTTACTGTCCTGTGTCAGAGCTCTATACACCTGAGAATGACATTGTTAACAAATAGAAGACTGAAAATTGACACTTTTCATCTTGTAATGGATATTCTGCTTGCTCTGTGTGCATGTTTCCAGTTAGTGAGATGAGATGTTCTTTGTTCTCCCTGCAGTCAGCCAGGAGGTTGAAAAAATTATGATTTGAATAAAAATAGCAATTTTTATTCTTTTTCTTTTTTTTTTGGAGCAGCATGCTTAATGTCTTTCTACAAGCTGTGTCCCAAACCCTACAATATGCTGTGCAATCCATTCATCAGATCCATGCACCTTTTTATTTCATTTTAAAAGCTTTCTCCCCTCTCTGCATGAGCCTGGGATTCAGTGTTCTCCCAAACAGACTTACAGAAGACTTAACCTAAGTAAAGAAGATTTTTTTATTCTTGGTACATCTTTGATGTATACAGTTAGAAGCCTACAGACTGCCTTTAAGAACAAAAAAAAAATCTTGAAGTCAGATAGACTTGCACATTCCTCGTGCTCCCGTAATGGTTATAAATCCCAGCTCTGTCAGATGAATTCCTTTTATCTTGCCTGCAAACATTTTACTGCTCATTTTTGTCTTATGCAGTGAGGTCATTATAATTTGCAGACACCCAGCATTCCTCTGATAAGATATCAAATGGGATGATGTGTTAGTAGTTTACTCTTTCTAATGCCAAGGGTTTCACCCACATGTTGCAGTGCCACCTTGGTTGAAAGGGTTAAAAAGTCTTTGTTCTCAGTATGGCGATATCTATGTCAGTTCATAAAGGGCTCCCATTAACCATTTATCTGCCACAATTGAATTGAAAGATAAAATAAGTCAATCCGATGTTCCCTTTTTAATCCATCGGGTACCCGTTGGCACTCAAGGGACGAAATATGTTCTGTTAGTCTGCAGACACTGACGTTCTGCTTTTACACTGTTGGCGTATTACAGCAGCTGAGTGTGGCGCTGTTTGTAAAGATGAATGGCAGTTTATCTTACTTAAACAGACATTTGTCAGGGACATTACTTCTAGTTTCTGCATGCCCAGTCCTGTTTTTTTATAATTTATATTCCATTTGTAATAATTTTTTAGAGTAAAATAACCATTCGGAATTTGGCAAACTGAATTTTGGATACTAGGAAGGATGTTTATCAAAGGGATCTATTCGCTAAACACAGAATTGTACAATTTAGATCAAATTAGAATAGCCATGCTGTTGTTATAGCCACATTGGATAATCTTTTACAAATTTACTATAGATGCATTCATTTTCCACTTTCTGTTGAGACTCTCCATGTCTGTGTGTAGTAAGTAAATCCCACTGTGTTTAACAAGAGGTTTTTAACTTTATCTAGACCTTAGAACAGGAAACCCCTTACTACTTGTTCTGTAGTCTGATTAGTGGGACATGCAATGTGGAACCAGCAGGTACATTTAAGATTGTGGATTTAACATTGGAGATTGCCCACTTTTACAATTTTGCACCATTTTAAGTTTATAACACTTTCATTTTTATTCACTAAAGTGAGAATTCAAATCAAATTCAAAGTGAATTTCAAATTTAAGGTGAAAAAATAGCCACATTTGAAAAAAATCTCTAAGTCCGCAATGCTTTCAGCTTGGCTACTCTGGCCTTAAACTTGGATTTCACTTAGAATTCTCACTTTAGTGTATGATTCCATAATGGTGGTTGGCAGTAAGTAGTGTGGCGGACTTAGTATCTTTGTCAGTTGGCATATTACACACCATATCATCATTTAATCTCTTGTTGGCTTTTGTTATCACAAGTATTAATTAGCAGCAGCTCCGGCCGCTGTACTCTGTTTGAATTTATGTTAAAGTCCACATCAAATAACACTGATCTCTTGTAAAACTTGCGAAAGAGAACATTCTCAGGATTAAGGCTTTTGAGATTTACCTACATTTGTTGGGTTTAGCCTGAATTTACATTTAACAAAGCTGACAGTTGAGTTAAAAGTGAGGGGCCACTGCAATACCTGTAACACACTGTAGGAAGCTTCTCGTAAATATATTAACCCCTTAAGGACACCGTTATGATTCACTTTTATTCCAGAAGTTGTGTCCTTAAAGGGACTCTCCAGTGCCAGGAAAACAATCCATTTTCCTGGCACTGCAGGTCCCCTCTCCCTCCCACCTCCCAATCCCCAGTTGCTGAAGGGGTGAAAACCCCTTCAGGTCACTTACCTGAGACCCCGCCGATGTCCCTAGGCGGTGGTTTCATCTCGCTGCCGCTCCTCCCAGTCTTTACGTCGGCCGGTGGGCGAGACTGATCCCGCCCACCGGCCGGGGAGACCGCGGGGAGACCGCATTAGAGCTCCCCCTATAGGAAAGCATTGAAAATGCTTTTCAGTGCTTTCCTAAGGGGAATTGAGCGACGCTGGAGGTCCTCACACAGCGTGAGGACGTCCAGCGACGCTCTAGCACAGGTTTTCAGGAAGTGCCCTCTAAAGCTTTGACATTTTTGAGAAATGGCAATATTTACATTTTTCCCAAACTTTGCCTTTAGTGGTTGCCTAGTGGCTTCTTATAATAGAGAATCAATGGATTCAGTTCTTCTCTGTAGACCGCAATTTCCTCACATTGATGAACTGAGATCCTATAAAAGTCAAAGGGCATCAACACTTAGAGACTTGCGAAAACTAGATAAAATTATCAACGCTGATATAGTTATTGTATCAGAGGCATCATGAGAAAATTTTCCTAATTTGCATAGAAAGCCCTCTCTGTGCCGTTTTCAGAAGGCAGCTGTGATGTGAGAGTTTAAAAAAAAAAGTGAGTAATGGCAGCTTTTGTGTGCTGAATTAAACAATATTCAGACTTGACAGTTCCTTTTTTTTCATGAATGACTCCACTGTGTTCCCTTGTTCTGTCCCGCAAGCCTTGCTTTGTGGAATTGATGGCAGGGCCCAAGACATTCAATGATGTTGTGGAGGCTGTCTGCACACAGCACATTTCTCTGCAGCAGCAAAGGGCTATTGTGTCTTTGTAATCTGTTTGCATAAGTGACCATATCTATTTAGACAAGAAAAATGCACACTGCATACCAAGCAGCCTTTACATTTATTCTACAGGCTTGGCATGGCAGGGATCTTAGCATGCAGCGTTTAGCTCAATATATTACAATGTATTCTGTATCTGAACGAAGCTCTACTTATTCTTATTTCATCTTGGTCATCGTTACTTCTAAAGGTAGGCAGCAATTTATCTATGGGACAACTGATCTCACATTGAAAAATCTCTGGTCCCATGGCTGCACAGACTTCTAAAACAACCTTATGGGAGATATTGAACGGCAGACTAAGAAAACAGAGATTTGTATTTTCTTTTTAAATTTTTTTACAGAAGTACACATATATTTGTCCATTAACTCATTTTTGAATGGATCTCAGAACCTACTGACTTTTTAAAGGGCTTATTCACTAAATAATTCTTGAGAACTTGGGTTCCACATCACCTCTCTCATCCTCTGATGTGGAAGGGTGGGGGGCAGAGGGTTGTCAGTAAATAATAGAAGAGGTGCCCAGCCCCGTGGTCTATGATATACCTAGACTGTAAGCTCTTTTGAGCAGGGTCCTCATCTACATATTGTTCCTGTAACATTTCATTATTGTTTCATTGGTTAAATTCTCCTTTGAATGTTAAACTCCGCGGAATAAGCTGGCGCTATATAAATACTAACAATAATAATAATCTATACTCTATGCCGCTAACTCAGTATTATCCTCCACTTTGATTTTTTTCTATAATCAGCTTGCCTGGCTTGGTTTATTTGTCAATGTGGAGAAATAAAGTCACACGATTCCAACAGTTCGAAGCTTTGTATTTTCCATAAACCATAACGTACAAGTCTATAAAGATATTATGTCACTTTAAATTCTCTGTGATGGGACCCTGGTCAAACAAAGCTTTATCGCAGGAAGGTGTTATGTAGATTAAGATTGCATTCATAACTCAGATTAGCTCAGGGCTCGTTAATTAGCTCATTGACCTTTGTACTGTCAGCAAAGTGCGCTAGATTTAGACATTGAGATCTCCTTGGCAGTGCTCTGCGTAGAGTACAGTGGGTTTTTGTTTTTTGTTTTCCTTAGCTGATATTAAAATACTCTCCAAGTTTGTTATAGTCACAGCTTGGATATTTTTGCTTTACGTTTGCAACAATTTAGATTTTAATTTGCTACAATTTGAAGTTTATTGAACTTTAATGATGCAGAACCTCCTTGAAAAATGTAGGCTAACATCTATTTAGAAGCATTCTTTTTTTTTTTTTTGCTTTTAATTTCCATCCTAAACTTGGCTAATTTTGACCTGAATAAGTATTCAGTTGACTAGGGGGCGTGAGTAGGATTTCTGCCAGATTTGTAAAAAATTCTACACAGCTGCAGTTCTGTGGCAGATGAGCACATGGTCTATATCCTATAACGGGCCAGGTCAGATCTTATTTCTCATGCATGGGATTTTCTCTCTCTCATATTATAGATTCACCATGGTTGACTTTACAGATCATTTTTTGTGTAGTTGTTTTTTTTTTTATGTTTGACTGCTCTATAAGCATTTTGACATGCGTGAAGGACAACAGATGAAAGTTAGGAGGAAAATAAATAAAAAATTACTATGTTTGGGAGAAAACCTTTTTGCTGAGCTCAAGTCTGCATTACACCCGAGTAGCACGTGGAACTGGTTTTTCAAGACTTCATATATGTTGAGAAATATGATAATGTGTTTTTTAAAAGCTCACACGTTCACTGCATTAGGGAGGGCACATGCCACCAAGGGTTCTGTTAAAAGAGAAATTGCATAACACTCCTAAGATTTACCTTTCTGTAAGGACAATTTTGTGACTCGAGCCTGTATACGTATTTAGAGTTACTTACTATACATAACTGCATTTTATATATACAAAATGTGTATTGCTATCTTTTATACTCTTATTCTTTATATGAAGTTGCAGTGAATGGTTTGACTAGACAGGATGTGCTTCTCAGAAGAGGTGCAACAGAAACTATGTCCCCCTTTTTACTGGGAAAACTGCTTTGTAATTTGTACTATTTATTTTGTAAACATTAGAGAGGTGTGTGTGTGTGTGTTTGTTTTCTTGAATCTGACTTAAAGGAACGCTATAGTGTTAGGAATACAAAGCTGTATTCCTCACACTATATAAACCCTTTGCATCCTCCCCACCCCTGGCAATGTAAAGGGTTTAAAAAAACATTTTTCACTTACCTGATTCTAGCACTGATGTCTCCACCGAGATCAGCAGATTGGGGTGAGCCTAAGGCGCATGCACAGTGAGTGCCACGCAAGCATTAGGCCTTCCCCATTGGAAAGGCCTAATACAAAGCATGGGGACTGTTATAGGTTGCTGGGTTAAGGGAACCGGGATGCTGCACCCAGACCACTTCAATGAGATGAATTGGTCTGGATGTCTATAGGGTCCCTTTTATATAACTGAACCCTTAATGCTACTGTGTTTATGCATTATAAATATTGCACAGAATATACTGTGGTACAATCTGTTTAACTAAAGTTTTTGGTTTGTCTAATTACAGGAGTGAAAATGTCAGTCAGCATACATGAAAACCGGAAGTCCAGGGCCAGTACTGGCTCAATGAACATATACTTGTTTCACAAGTCTTCATATGCAGACAATGTCCTTACTCACCTCAACTTACTACGCCAGCAATGTCTCTTCACAGATGTCTTACTGCTGGCAGGAAACAGGTCTTTCCCTTGCCACCGTGCTGTCCTTGCCGCTTGCAGTCGCTACTTCGAAGCCATGTTCAGTGGTGGACTTAAAGAGAGTCAAGCCAATGAGGTGAATTTTCACAGTGCCATCCATCCCGAGGTTCTGGAACTTCTCTTGGATTATGCTTACTCATCAAGAGTCATCATCAATGAAGAGAATGCAGAGTCTCTCCTTGAAGCTGGGGATATGTTAGAATTTCAGGACATCAGAGATGCTTGTGCAGAGTTTTTGGAGAAGAACCTTTACCCTACCAACTGCTTAGGGATGCTGCAACTTTCCGATGCTCATCAGTGCACTAAACTTTACGAACTGTCTTGGAGAATGTGTCTTTCTAATTTCCAAACCATCTGTAAAACAGAAGACTTTCTCCAGCTCCCTAAAGCAATTGTGATACAGCTGTTGTCCCATGAAGAGTTGGAAACGGAAGACGAGAGAATGGTCTATGAATCTGCTATGAACTGGATAAACTATGACCTAAACAAGAGACACTGTTATTTATCCGAATTGTTGCAAACTGTACGATTAGCTCTGCTACCTGCTATCTATCTCATGGAGAATGTAGCTATGGAGGAACTTATCATCAAACAGAAAAGTAGCAAGGAGCTAGTAGAAGAAGCCATCCGGTGCAAGCTTAAAATATTGCAAAATGATGGTGTAGTCACAAGCCTGTGTGCAAAACCCCGTAAAACTGGTCATGCCCTGTTTCTCCTTGGTGGACAGACTTTCATGTGCGACAAACTTTACCTCGTAGACCAAAAGGCAAAAGAGATTATACCCAAAGCCGACATACCAAGCCCTCGAAAAGAATTCAGTGCTTGTGCAATTGGCTGTAAAGTCTACATCACTGGTGGAAGAGGTTCTGAGAATGGCGTTTCAAAAGACGTTTGGGTGTACGATACACTCCATGAGGAGTGGTCAAAGGCTGCTCCCATGCTTGTAGCACGGTTTGGACACGGTTCTGCAGAACTTAAGCACTGTTTGTATGTAGTAGGTGGACACACAGCAGCCACTGGCTGCCTTCCCGCTTCCCCTTCTGTGTCTTTAAAACAAGTGGAACAATATGACCCAGCAACCAACAAATGGACCATGGTTGCTCCTCTTCGGGAAGGTGTGAGCAATGCAGCTGTAGTCAGTGCAAAACTCAAACTGTTTGCTTTTGGAGGGACTAGTGTAAGCCATGATAAATTGCCCAAGGTTCAGTGTTATGATCCATCCGAAAACAGATGGTCAGTACCAGCCACATGCCCTCAGCCGTGGCGATATACAGCAGCAGCTGTTCTGGGAAATCAGATTTTTATCATGGGTGGAGATACAGAGTTCTCAGCCTGTTCAGCTTACAAATTTAACAGTGAAACATATCAGTGGACTAAGGCTGGAGATGTGACAGCCAAAAGAATGAGCTGTCACGCTGTAGCATCTGGTAATAAACTGTTTGTTGTTGGCGGCTATTTTGGGATTCAGAGGTGCAAAACTCTGGACTGTTATGACCCAACCCTTGATGTGTGGAACAGCATAACTACAGTACCTTACTCCCTAATCCCCACAGCATTTGTCAGCACTTGGAAACATCTGCCGTCTTAAAGAACAATGGCATGGTAAGAAAATATCCCAGAAATACATTTGGAGCAGATATTGAAATGCTTAATTAGCATATTTAAAACATTTACATGGCACTTGTGTAGTAAAGTAAAATGTAATTTGTATGAAATGTCAGTTGAATGTTAAGTGACACTGATACACTCATAAAATGTTGAAAAAATTTATTCGAGATTTGTACTGTTGCGCATAGATAAAAAAACAACAGCAGCAATGTTTGTCATGTGAATATGAATAGGAAAAACACTTTTGAATGAATTGGAATCACTTATACACACCATTGAGAGGTTCACCTAGAGGAAAGATATGTAATACATTCAAAGTACATGATTCATAAACATAGAGGGTTTATTCAATAAATAGTTTGTGGTATTAATCTGAAAACCAAATGGCAATATGTAGGCCAAAATAGCTGATTTGGAGAAATTCTCCATTTACTGTTAAATAGAAGGAAAAATAATCTTATTATTTTTTATTTTTTCATTTTTTTTTACTATACAAGCTGTGCAAATTGGTCTGTTTTAGTGCACGAGGCCCCGGGAGACCAAGGTCATTAAAGGACACGAGGGGGTTATTATATAGGCATCAATTTGCAGACTATATATGGGAGAGTTATAGATTGACATTTCTCAATTGTCTGTTGAATGAGCAAACAAACTTTCAGTAAAAGTATATGAACTGCTTAAACCAGTTCCACACGTTTCTGATGCTTTGTCGAGTGTGTAAATGAAACCCACTCTCCTTCCTCATTCCTGGGGTATTGCTAAGAGTTAACTGGAGTGCTTGCTGGGTTTCCGCTCCACAATGACTTTTTACTCTCTTACTCATTTCCCAGTGTTTGTCATGGCTATTATCAAGCTGTCTGCTCCATTACTTAACATACTCTTGAAGGTCCCTTCCCTATTTTGTGTGAAACTGTTTGCTTTATATGATCATCATATAACCCTTTGTTTGCGAGAGAGGTTAGCCACAACCCTCTGACATGCATACGGCTTAATCCAAGGAGAGGGACAATATTTGAGTAAATAAGAATTATTTGGGTCTTCTGGGACACCCATTTTCTTTTTTTTTGTCTTTATGAATACATTTTAAATCCCTTTATCATGATTTTAGTTGCCCATTCCACGTGGATTTCACGATTTTCCTGCAGACATTTCTTCATGCTAATGGACAACTCATGAATGGTGCTATATTGAATCCAAAGGCTAAAGGAAGTAAATCAGTTCGCTAGTCAAGGAAAATGCTAAAATTAGCTGATTTGATTTTCTCCTGCAGCATGAGAATTCTACATACAGTGGGGCAGCTTTTCACAGTTGCTGCCCATCAGCATGTAGAAGTTATATGTATCCAGGAAAACAGTGGATAGTGGTGGATATGGCACCCAGATTTACTCTTTCTCTACCATCCAGCTCCAGCTAATGCCTAGTTGTTCTCCTCTTTGTGTCTGGTTGTAGTTTCTACCCATTCTCCTCCTGTACTCCAGGGCATACATCGCACAAATGTGTAATTAGTGTAATACGGGGTTGGTGAGAGACACAGGAATATTGACCAGTAGTCCCAGTAAGCTGGAGTGACTTAGCAACAGAATGTCTACAGGGGGAGGCAGAAGATCCCTTTGGACACATGCATTTTCAAAAATTTGCAAAACACTTCGAGTATTACGTCCTAAAACCATGCATCACTCACCAGAAACCTCAGGATGAAAGATGGTAGACATAATATTATTATTATTATTATTGGTATTTATATAGCACCAGCTTATTCCGCAGCGCTTTACAATAAATAGATTTCAAATCCCATGTACAATGGTGTGTGAGGTAGTGAATGATCACTTTATGGTAAAATACCAAATATGCATGTGGATTTTATAATTTATTTATTATTTTGACATTTAGTGGATGTGGATGGAAAGTCACTCGCTGAATAAGCTCAGATCTGAAGTCAAAGTCTGCTAGTTTGTCACATTGACGCTATATCTTTTTATGTCAGGAAAAAAAAAAGAATCCATAATTCTGATGGATTGTCAATGGGTCAGACATCTGCCACCCCAAGGATTAAGTCAGTCATCGCCACCCCAAGGATTAAGTCAGTGCAACATGAAAGGAAGTCTATAGACGCAATACACGCTAAACGTTTGCTTAGCCACTTCTGTCTTGAAAAGGTTTTGTCACAGTCCTGCAAACGGATATACATTTTATCAAGGTCTCTAAGCCATTAACATGATAATAACCTATTATAAACTTTCACAGTCTGCTCTAGAATCACAATTTTTGATCTGTGCTTACATTTTTAATTTTGGTTTACTGTGTAAAATCACTGTTTAGTGAATACATCCCTAAGTTAACTGGATCCTAGTCCTAAAATGTTAATCTGTACATACTGAGTGCAGCTGAGTTCACACCAGGGCATTTTCACACCCCATTTTAAAGGATATTAACTTTTCACTGGCGAAACAGGAACAAGGGGGCGCTGACAGTTATTAGAAATGTTCAATAAAACAGATGGGACCTAATTCATTTCCACGTAGATTTGCAATACAATTGGACTGTCGCTTTGTAACCCTTCTAGGGGAACCTTGATATTACCCATTTGCTGCAAGCCGTCTTTGTTTACTTTAAATCACACGTGTGCCTTTATCGTCTCGAGAGGAAACTAACCTTCGCTTGTTTTCTTTATGTCTCTCGCAGATACAGGAGCTCAGCTGTGAAGACTCTGGGCCATCTCTTAAATGGAGGAGAATAGACTTCCCTGGCTTGAAAGCGGTTGCTGGCATCCTGTACATTTTAAAATGTTGTAGCCAAGGCTGCTGAATCCTTTGGCACCGAAAAAAGAAAAAGAAAAAAACAATTTGGATCGTAAGGGAGCAAAACCCCCCCAAACTCTATAAATTGAGTTTTAAATATCAGTATTAACTGCATTTGAGAAGCAGAATCTTTGACAGAGAAGAATTGCATGATTTCTAACATTGGTAGGGTTTAAAAAGGAAACAAACTCTGCGTCACGTGGAAGACAAAACTTGGATCCATCTGGACAGATCTCTATGGCAATGATTGCCACCTAAATGCAGAATAACTCGTAACGTCGGCACCGGCTGCGGGGGAGGCTTGCGGGTTCCAAACCGCAAAATGTCATGATGCATCAATTCCAACTACATATCGCTTGCAAACAAAACTGGACAGACTGTGATCACTGCAGGGTGTTTATTAACCCTTTGGGTTCCAGAGAAAAGTCTTGCTCTAGTGCAAAGCTTTCCTCTGCCGCTCAAAAGGTCAATCAGAGCATACGCACACATCAACATTGTGTAAACCACTATTGTAATTTAAAAAGAAACTGTGAAGGAACATTCTATGTCTTACTCTCAAACCCCATTGCCATTTCAATCGCCTATTTGTATATTTGTACTGACCGTCTCATTTTTATTTTTCGTTGCATTCCACATTGTGTCTGTACAATGGTCCTGTGCTGTCTGCATGCCAATACAATGCGTGTAGCTGTATTCACATGTGAGAGGTCTGACGATGAATGAATGTTTTTATTGTTTTGGTAACAATTATCAGAATGGAACCAATAATCTCTTTTTTAAAGATTCATTTTCACCTAGCTGTGTGCAGCATGTCAGATCTGACATTACCGCTTGGTCATACAAAGCTTTCAGACGTAGAACTTTTAGTTTTTAAACCTTTTTGTAAACTGAAGAAATTGGTCTCTTATTAGGATTTGGCCTTTGTATCCGAGGGGACAGTGCATTGGTTTTCTGGGTAGGAAAAATACAGAATGGGTATCGACAGAAGATTTTCAAAGGAGGGGTAATTGTCCATTACTGCCCTATGCTGTAGACACCTGCTCATGTCTGGATTTCAAACAAGTAGCTGGGAGGAAAGTGGTTTGACTCCTGAGGTACAGAAATGCTGCATGCAACAGGCCATGCGTTGACCATTAATTTCCCGGTCAATAATGTGCCTATAAAAAAAAAAGTGCATCTGGCGTTAAGAATGTAGAAAATCCGTCTGAAAAATTCATACCTCTATCTGTTGTGTCTTGTGATAAATACAGAACTGAACTGGTTAAAACCAGCTTCTACAAAGAAAAAAAAATAGTTTTTCAGGGCATTCTGAGCAACAATATTACTGGAAGCAAAGCAGCATAAAGGTCATGGTGTCGAGGGGTTCAGCTTTTTCAGACGAGGGTAGTTGGATTACTTAACCAGGTCTTAAATTACACACGAGAATAAAATAAGCTTAGCAGGTAACTTTTTCAGGCCAACGGCTCTGCGAGTCATATAGAACCTCTGCTACATATATCTGACCCTGAACGTTCTTTGAATTCCAGAGGTATGCACTTAAAGGTTGAATCTAGAGGTATTTTCTTTGCAAAGTGTAGAATGTACCCTCTTTAAGCACGGTTGGTTTATTATAAAATGTATCCAGCAGGGCAGCAATACCTTTTAATGTAGCCATGCCATGGTTTAACCCCTTAAGGACCAAACTTCTGGAATAAAAGGGAAACATGACATTTCACACGTCATGTGTCCTTAAGAGGTTAAAGTGCACCCCCCCCCCCTTTTTTTTTTTTTTAAAGAGGACACCTATGGAAAAACTCATTAATGCACAGGTGAATTTGTGTCAGAGTTATCCTGTAATAGGTATTTTTCTGGTGTCCCTTTAAAAAAAAAAAAAAAAAAAAAGTGAAAATGATCTTAAAGGAAAACTCTGTCACTTTCATTCCCTCACTTAATTAAATGCTATTTAAGCACTTACAAGAGTGAGGAGTTCTTTGTCCAGAACAACATCCTCTCCCAATGGAATCTCTACAGAAGCAACATGTTAACAGACCTTGAGAAATTATTTAAACTCCCCCCCCCCCACCATAGCTCTGCATGCGCACATTTGGCATTATGGAAGGAATGGCCAAGCACATGCGCTAATGTTGGGGTTGAATTCATTTTGCTAGGTATACTATGGCTTTTGTCAAGACAGTCAGGTATTGTAAATTATTGAAAATAAATAGTTGAGAATAAAAAGATAAAAAAGTAGCACAATCCATAGCTGTTAGTTGGCTAATGGTTATGCAAAAATCTCACATGTGACAGTTCTGCTTAAATATGCTTCGAGGTTTATTGAAGTTTAAAAAAAAAAAATAATTTTCAAAATATTTTTGGTGGTCCGTTCTCAGGAGGGTTTTTATGCCCTTCTGTTTAATTAAAAATGTACTTATTGCATTGTTAATGGCATTATCCAAAGTTATTTATTTTATTTATTGATGTTAGCGGTGCACTTTTGCCAAAGCCACGTGTATTTTTATGTGAAAGAATGGCGGTTTCTTTGTGGTCTTTCTTTCAACGCTCAGTGGATTTGTGTTAAGGAAAAAAAAATAAATAAACTTGCACTGTTTGACATTTTCTGAATAATTTGGTCTGGTTTTATTTTCTTCAAATTTTCAATGAGCAGATAATGTAGAACATTTAGTAAAACCACACTTCAACAAAACTAAAACCATCTAGCAGTAATTCATACAGAGACTTTTTAGGTACTAAGCACCGATCTTTATTTTTAATGTGAGATTGCTACAGTTTAACAAGGTGCAGTTCACATTTTTATGAGATGAGCTGCTGGTATTTAAGATTCATAGGTTATGTCAGACCCTAATAAAACAGTGATCTCATAATCTAGCTTTCTGGAGTTCTCAGACAAACTTTGGGCCACCGGCTGGCTAAATTATATTCATTTTGGAATTTCTACCCAAATATTAAGCATGCCACTTGTTTGTGTGCTGGAATTAGGAGTAAAACTGCCCAAGATTTTTTTAAATAATTTCCTAAGTACTAGACAAGAGCACAAATCAGTTTCAGCTGCTTCCAACGAACCAACTTCCTGTTAATCTATGCCTAAACAAATAATAGACCTTTCTGGGATTTACCCGAGGAGTCTTGACTTCATGGCTAAATCATGGACGGATCGATTTGTTGGGACATAGATTAATAAGAATTTTGATTTGTTGAACGCAGCTGAAAAAATGTCAAAGGGACTCTCTCGTCATCCAGACTAATTTATCTCCCTCATTTTAACCCTGCAGCTGAAAACATTGCTGTTCGGTGGTTAACCTGCCTCTCGTGAAGGGGCTTCCGTGAAATAGTTGAGTAAATCTGCTTGGTGCAAAAGGGGCGTTTTGCTGCACATTCCCTTAACCTCCAAGTGGTTTTCTAAGGGAAAGCATTGGATTGGCGGAGATCATCGATTTTAATAATCTCAGAAAAATAGGCGGAGCTTCCCCAAGGAGACTGGCAATGCAAGGGTGAATTGATAAGCAAAATAAACCAGGCAGCAGGATTTAAATTCATATGTGTATTCCTAATGCTATATGGTTCCTTTAATGCACATGTCTATTTATTACCTCAATTCTAGTCACAAATATCACTTGCACATTCATAACCACTTTATATGCCATTTAAACCAAAAAGTGATATTTGGCAGAGGTGGCTATTATACGGATCTCCAACAGACCACAATGGCTTCACAGGTACATGGATATACAGGACATATTTTTGAGAGACCATCACAGTTAAATAAAGTATTTGGATGTTATATAAAGTTAATTCATTATCCCACCAAAGTAGAATTATAGGTTTGCTAGACTCGCAGTTTTAGTACTAGGCCTATGAGAACACTTTAGCCATTTTTGTAAAAACACAAGATTTATTCAATAAACCCGGGTTTGTCAGAAATATAATTTGAGAACGGCAAATTCCAGGCCAAAATAGTCAAATTGGTAACCTAATCCCCAGCTATTCTAGCTGTAAATTTGCAATTATTTGCATTTCAGACACTTCACAATTTAATGACTAAGCCTGGCTACGTGTCTGAAAATAAGAAGGGTAAATACATAGTTGCAATTAGGGGGCTTAATGGATTGGGGTATCGGTACTGTTGAATGGTTTTTACTACCCTCACCAGCAGCATTTTGGATTAAAAGTATGACCTGGCAATCTTAAAAAGTATAACCCGGCAATTCAGAGTGAATTTCAATTTTATGGCCAAAAAAGTAAAACTGAATTAAAAAAAAATTTTTTTTCTTCGAGCCTGCTTTACCTCGGCTAGTTTTAATTCTTGTAAATTCTCACTTTAGTGTATAAGCCCTACATCAAGCTTTTGCTCAGTTATATGATTTTAGTTTGGTATTTCACAAAACAAGGCGTGAGCAAGAGTCTAACTCATTAATTGTCAGACTAGTGTAATGAGGACGTACTGAAGGGGTGCTAACTATGTCTTTAACAGATGTAATCACCTGTTCATTTTAGGATTACTTTAATGTAATCAAACACTGTGTGACAAGTATAACCCTGAAATGCTGGTTCATCAAGGCAGCTAATGTACTGGAGTTAAATAACCCTGATGTAAGAAATGTTTAGGTGATGGAGTGCAGCCCTACCGAGGATCCTTAAAGTAGCACTGTCACTCTGCAGATTTTGCTTTGAAATTACGTTTCTATTTTTTATTTTTTTTTGCCCCTTTCTCTCTTCTTGTTTTTATTTATTTAAATGGGCCTTTGTTCTTTTTAGTAAAACATAAGATAAATTATGGAGTACTTTTTCTTGTGGGAGGTAATCTTTGGAAATGGAGGGCGTTTAAGCAAAGTTCTGTTTCTGTTACTATGCTAATTTACTCACAATGCATCATTTAAAGAACTACACTAAAGAGCAAACTGCAGACATCATGCACTGAGGAGAACAAAATGGAGGCACCTGATATTGGCATCCAGCACATGGAGGAAAATAAATTCAAACAAAGGCAAGTGGCAAGGAAGGGAGAATAATAATTAAAGGGATACTCTAGGCGCTATCACCATTTCATCTCATTGCATTGGTTAGAGTGCCTTCGAATCCCTTGGAGCTGTCATTGCATTACATTTTAAACCATTTTTAAGCAGTTTAGCACAGAGTGAGGCTCCCTTGTTAGCTCCCCATTGCACTGCCCCCATTGGAGGAATGGCTAATGCAGGGATTACGCTCAACCTTGGTCCATCCGATTCCTATCAGCAGTGGGTGGCTGTTAAAGGCTGAAAGCAGTCAGCTAACACTTAGCCAATCACCATCAATCATTGCTGCTGAAGCTAATACTTCCTTATTAGCCAAATTAGCATACCACAACAAGAGGACATAGTCTTAAATTAGAGGGGCAAAGGTTTAAAAATAATATCAGGAAGTATTACTTTACTGAGAGGGTAGTGGATGCATGGAATAGCCTTCCAGCTGAAGTGGAAGAGATTAACACAGTAAAGGAGTTTAACCCCTTAAGGACACATGACATGTGTGACATGTCATGATTCCCTTTTATTCCAGAAGTTTGGTCCTTGAGGGGTTAAAGGACCACTATAGTGCCAGGAAAACAAACTTGTTTTCCTGGCACTATAGTGGTAATAGGTCCCCCCCACCCTCATGGCCCCCTCCCGCCGGCCTCTAGGGGGAGAAAGGGGTTAAACACTTACCTTTCTCCAGCGCCAGGCTCTGGGGACTCTCCTCCCTCTTCCGACGTCATCCGCCGAATGCGCACATTCAATCAGTAGATAGGAAAGCATTTCACAATGCTTTCCTATGGATGGCAGCGTCTTCTCACTGTGAAAATCACAGTGAGAAGGGCGGAAGCGCCTCTAGCGGCTGTCCGTGAGTTTCTCTGAAACTGCTATGTTTACAGCTGCAGGGTTAACCCTAGATGGACCAGGCAACCAGACCACTTAATTGAGTTCAAGTCGTCTGGTTGCCTATAGTGGTCCTTTAAGCATGCGTGAGATAGGCACAAGGCTTTCTTAGCTATAAGATAAGGCCAGGAACTAATGAAATGGGCAGATTAGATGGGCCGAATGGTTGTTATCTGCCGTCACAATCTATGTTTCTATGTTTGGACTAATGAGGAACAGTGAGCAGAAGGAGAGCACCATGGGACACCAATCACTATAACCACTTCAAGGAGATAAAGCAGTTACATTGACCCTTTAAGTTACAATATACATAAGGGGAAAAAAACATGCCGTTATAAGTGCTTATTCCTTTAATATGTTTCTGTACAAAGATTGACTTCTTTATATCCCATACCTAATGCTAAAATTTCTCATTCCTTTATTACTTTTTAAAAAAAATTATATTTGTAATATACTGATCAAACAGAATTTAAATAAACATTTCCCTTCCCTGAAGCTTAATGCTGGTCCTCTGGTTGTATGTGCGTTGGTCATCCTAGGAATATCATATATCCATGCAGCTTCAGGAAAGAGAACAAAAGATTTCAAATTAAGGAAAAATTGGGCAGCATTTTCCAGCTAAGGCAGAATAAGTCACGTGGTGAAATAAGCCATAAACAGAACACATCCAAGACAGCTGTGCCTTTTGTAACATGGATGCAAAATGGCGCACGTTTGCAAATGTACATTTAATTAGGAACATTTTAAAGGTGGCGATCTAATTTTGTTTCAAGATTATTTAAAATTCCAACTGTTCCTATAAATATAAGAAGGAATGCAGATTTTTCTTTTCAAGAAGAACACATATAAAATCACACATTTTACAGGTTCTTATTCATAAACTTTACAGAATACATTTTCCACCCCCACCCCTATAAATGAGACTTGCAGGTTATACGTTTTAGAAGGGAAAATATGACAATTCTGTGAATGGTACAATAATGCCAAATCGTTTTCTCCCTCGGCGCTCAAGACTTGATTTCCCTCATTGCACTTAAAGTCTTCTGTCGGACTTTGCGTACCGTATATATATTTCTATAACAATTACTGTAATTTGCTAAACTAACATCTTTGGCAGCTGACTGCGGTTGATGTGAAGATGTGAGGCTTTTTAATCATCCGTCTCGGATTGATGACTAACTTGTTAAGATCTGAAGCAGCTGTCTGTACGCTATATGCACAGTTATTTTCATCTTTCAAAAACCACTTTACAATATTTTTTTGTGAAGTTTTTATCCTTCTACTGCAACATTATGAGGGGGAGGCCTAGAATTGTTCCAGTTTTTGTTGCTATTTCTATGCTTAATTCAGCTGCACTGAGGCCGAGGTCTGATCCTGGCCTCGATTTAATTATAGAGTGTAGGCCGAGGAGGGCTGAAGTCACGGTGGGCCTCTGTCTCTGCAGGGAACATTCAGGGCTCATGCTTCTTGAATTGATGTGGGAATTTCGACTTGTGATTAAACGCTACAGATCTGAAAGAAAGTAAAAAAACAAAACAAAAAAAACATCCCACACGCTGAAGCCAAAGAGATTCACAGCACGGAGCACACAAAACCTTGGCATAAGACGTGAAGGTGCTTCGTATTCGACGTTCCAGTTGCTGTGGAAACCAATAACAAAGGGCAGCCTTCCACTCTTAGTCTGATTGTTTAGGTCGCATTCAGCTGCCCTGACACCTGTCTGAATCGTGTTGATTAGCAATGAATAATGTTTCTTCTATGCTGGTTCTGGATATATACATTGTATTTAAATAAAAATAATAATAAAACTAAAACTGAAGTGTTAAGTAAACGATCCAATTTTATTATTCTATGTTTTTTTCAGAAGCACACTGTATCAAAATAATGTGTCGACCATACAGTATTGTAGTTACATTTCTGGTACATGTAAAAATAAACTTTATTTTAGGGTCTACATCCACTTCTATAATTTCTGTGATAGGTAGGTGGATGCACATATAATGTGTGTGGGTCAGTCCCACGATTCAAAGCGTGTTGCTTTTTGCATATTACACTGTAAGATTGAAACACGATGTGAAATGAGCTAGGGTGTAAATATCCAAAGTGTCCCAAATCAAACAGAATAGTCACAGTTTAGAAGCCAACTCCTCCCATCCCAAGTTTTTATGGATATGGAGACTATTAAAAGTGTACAGCCGGGGGTGGAGCCTAGCTGCTGAACTGCATGGACAAGACCCTCCATTGCTCCTAAGAACAGGTGTATAATCCGCTACCACCCGCAGCTTCAGTGGGTCCCAGACATACCCACATGAGTGCCTTGTTACCCCAGCACCATGGGCTATACGCTGATGCCCTTTTTGTACACACAGAGGGCAGGAAAAACCCAATGTAAAACACGGGCCTACCTCATGCTCTCACCAGCGGAGAGCCTGACGCAACGCCTGGAAAAGTACACGGAGCTCACATAAGAGGTATAATCGACACCAGTGAGGCCCCTGTTCACCGACCACAACATGATGAGGACACAGGGACTTAGGGACTTTATTGCAAAGGCCCCAGAGCCACAAAATGGCGGCCGGCCCAGACCTGACATCCTGTCCCCACAGCTCAGCCTCACTTCAGAGGGGCAGGGAAGCTCCCATCATCAGGATGACGGGGAAGACCTAGCACCTGCCCAAAAATGGGATATCAAGCAGCTAATAAGGGAGATGAAGCAAATGTTCGATGCTGACATGAACCTAGCTCGAACGGAGATACAGGCTGTGTCCCAAAGAGTCCAGGCCTCAGAGGAGGATATCATTGATATTCGACAAGAACTAAAAACAGTGGGTGATACCATACGCCAGCTGCAATCCTCTGATTCTGCATTCCAACTTAGACTGGATACTATGGAAGACCAAAACTGGCAGATGAACATCAAAATCTGGGGAATACTGGACTCTGCAGGCCCGGCAGAACTGTCTCATTACTTACGGAGGTTAACTGCTACACTGTTGCCTCACACCCAGGCCAAGAAATTGGAATTCGACGGACACGTCAGAATCAATAAGGCTAAACAAGCACTGCCTGAAGCCCCGCAGGATCTAATTGTGCGCTGTCACTCCATACTAGACAAACGGCGCTTTCTAACTGCAGTTAGGAACAAGACCCCACTGGACTTTGAGTCATCCAGACTCACTTTCTTCCAAGACATCACGCGCACCACACTACAATGACGAAAGTCACTAAGCCCTATAACCGCCCAACTTCAAAATGCAAAGGTGGTATACTGATGGCTGCTGCCAAGAACCTTAGCAGTGGTAAGGTACGACACTGTCCTAAAACTCACCTCTCTCGCGGAAGCCCCCGCTTTCCTGCAGGCCTTGGGACTCTCACAAGACATAGGGGCCCAAGAGACACCTTCCACGTCTACACCTCACACATGGGATCCTGAGAGAACTGACTCATTCACCCCCAGAGGTGACCGGAATAAAACAGCGGTGACCTGAGCAGACATCACGCGGAGCCATTTGGCTCGCATAATATCACATAGTATCGCCGATGTCATCAGCCTAACAGTTTCTATCTCACCACATGGTTTATAACATTTATTTTGTTTCTTTTCTTACCAAATTGAATGTTACTTGTATATGTTAATGGAGAACCAAATATTGTGCCTTCCTTAGTATAAGGGAGAAGTTCAGCACCTAAAAAAACTCACAATGTTTACCAATCTCTGCCGGACTAGACCCCCCCGTAACCCCCATAGTTAAGGGGTCATCACTCGACTTCGCTCCCTAGGAGATGGACAGGTACAGCAATACACCACAACCCTTACATTGCAACTCAAGTAAGGAGACGTTACCAGATGACTAACAGCACTTGACTTACTCTTACAGATGAAGCAACCAGGTTGCGCTTGAGGGAGTGTTATGCACATCATTCCAGAGCACAGTGCACTACTCTCTTTCCCTACATCACACAGCCTCATTAATTCACACTGTCAGGTGCACACCCTGAGACGCCTCATAGATTTGTCTAACTAAACGCAGATGATCTAGACTTTTATTATTGTTAACTTGTTTTAGACATTTTCAAAGACAGCCATAACCTTATTAATTCATAGTTCCTACACAGGTCTTGCGATGTATCGTGATGTTCCTAACTTGTCTACTAAACCATAAAAATGTGCCGTTGGATATGTCCAGATTACGATTGTTACTGCATTGCTTGCTCCAGCTGTCATGGCGGAACAAGCCAGTTTGTACCCTTAAGCACAACAAAATAATGAATTAAAAAAAAAAAAAAGTGTACAGCCAGGCTCCTCTTCCTGACCTTTCCGACCCTTCCATACCACCCTCTCTGTCAGGTTTTATACTGGCTTCCTATGACTTAGAAGGTTATTCACTGTAAGGTAAGGTTTCAAATAAAGGTCAAAATAGCTGAAGTGAAAACAAAGTCAGCTATGATTCCAGTTTTGACCCTAAATGTGAAATTCACTTTGAATTCTCACTTGAGTTTATTTTAAAATCCCTAGAGCTTACTTGTAAATTGCATCATGATACGACTCCATCTGCTTATCTCCAATAATAAATGTCCCATAAATCCCCTCTGCTCTCCGAAAGACCTACTTGTGTCCTCAGGTTCTACTCACTCCAATGACTCTCAGACTTCTCTAGATATTATTAAACTCTCTTCCTAAAAAATAAATTAGTTTGGGTAAATCTTTTTTTTTTATTTGAATGACCAAATTTTGACCATGCAAACAATTTGGGAAAACTATTCAGAAAACCAAAATTGATAAATAAATGTTATTTTAGTGTGTATATATATATATATATATATATATATATATATATAACTTTTTTATTTATTTTTTTTAAGTACAGTGATATGCTCTTTTTCGCTCCTTTTTACCAAAGCTAATTCTGGTCTTAACACATTCATCCATATTCAAACTAATTTTGACTGAATAGGTATGTTAACATTCAAATTTGATCCACATTCGGTGACATATTCGGATTTTGAGCAATATGTTACTTCTGTTGTGTTTTTTAAGCATTCTGTCTTGCAGATTTCAGGTTTATATAACATTATTTATTTATTTGATTAAGTGAACCAAGCAAAACTATTTGAATAGTTACTGTTTCAGTTGTTTCATGATTCAATCATATGGAGATTCTGAGTTAAAGAATTTGGACTCACCGAAGGGCCAAAATTTGGATTAATTGCAATTGGTTTTAAATGCACAAGTCTACTAAACACTTCCTCAAGACGATATATCACTTGAAAACGAATAACCTTCTTCCCATCTCCTCTCTGCACACTTTACACACTTTACACTAACCTGCATTATAAATACCAATATTAATAATAACAATAACAGCAGGCAGCAGACGTGAGCAAGGGACATGGTACATGTGCTGTGTTTTGTGCATGTGCAAATGTGCCTAGCTGGCAAATGATGTGTGCTCATATGCCGATCAGAAGCCCTGCAATGCCCATCAAATGTAGTCAAGCCATGCAATATCCTGCGTAGCTAGAATAGAATGTTGGGAGGAGGTGTTAAATACAATGCAGGGAAGTAGAATGTTTAACCTATACATTTACTGTTGATTGTGCTTGCTCAATGTATTCATATAATGTTAATACTAAAACTAGGCTTTAATCTACATCATGTTCTGAGAAGCTGTAGGATAAACTTGAAAGATCAAAGTGGATTTTTATAGCAATGGCAGCCCTTCTTAAAACGTTTACTTTTTCTAGGTCCAAATTATTATAATTTTTTTTCTTTTTAAGATCGTCAAAAGATATCACTGAGGGTTTTAATACTCATAATCCACTAGAGAGTGATATGATGTACACCTGATACATTCAGACTCACGAGGCTGGTTCTAATTTATAAATCACAAGACATGTGAATTAGTAAAGAATGGAATTTTTTTTTACTGCTGGCTGTAACACTTTGCTAATATGGTGCAGGCCATGACCCCTTGGAGAAGAAGGCATGATATGTGAACTGTGAGTCTCTGCTTTCGTCTTTCCGTTTCACTGGGATATGGTTGCTCACAGATGTTTGGATGCATTTTTCCGTTAGCTTTTTGTATACATGGATACACAGAGGTCATCAGAAAAGACTAAGATAGAAGACTCGGGAAGAGATGTATGTATCAAATATCAGAATAACATCCTTCCAAAGAGCTCCAAAGTTCTCTAATGAAAAATTATTTAAAGGCTTCAACGGATGGAAAGGATTGGGGGGGATTCGTTTGCTGCAAAAACATTTCCTATCAGTTATATAGCAAAGTGGAAAACCTCACAGGGTTATTTTCTAAACTAGGAATTTGCTAAAGGAATTATATTATTTTATAATGACAAAATTGACAAATTGGCAGAAAGTCTCCAGCTTATTTCATTTTACATCTTGTCTGCATTGGCATTAAATTTGTCGCAATTCAGTTGTTAGTGAATAAACGTCAATAGTGATTGTCCTGTTGTAAAGAATTTTTTTCAAAATTAATTTAACAAAAATTCATAAAATAACAAAAAACTTTATAAGTGAAAATTCTTTCAGTACATATATCCACGTATCTGAAATTATATTAGAAGGCAACAGAGACATTTGCACTTTAATTTGTATATTAAAATTCATTGAAAAAAATTAACAACTCTGTAAAATAATATCAGATTCAAAACTGCTAATAATCGGCATTGAATACATTTTCTATTAATTTCGTGCATTAACTTATTTTAAATATACTTTTGAAAAACTGGTTTACTTGCATTTTATTATCTGCTAGTTTCACTTTGTTTTAAGGTACTGACAGAAACCAATTTGTAGGCTTCACCCGAAGCCTTTGAAGTGATACTGGTTGACATACCTGCATTACAGCAATCTGATCCCTTTCTGTGCTTGACCTCGGGCAATTCATTTGCAAGTAGTTGGTCTCGTCTTCACTTCTGTGTGAATAAACTGTTTATTAAACCTGTTGAATGCCAGACAGACATGATGACCACAGAAAAAGGCACAGAGAAAGAGAGGCATTTAAAGATTTCCTATTAACAGATAGTTGTTACTTTCCATTCTGTTCCCAACTTTAATGAAAGAAGAGATTCTGTTTTTTGGGTTTATAGTACAAAATGCCAGGCAATGTTTCAGAATTCTAATGATTTTTCTGTTCTGCTGGGGGATTTTGTAAATTGCAACCTTCGCCCTGCAATACAAGGAGAAAGTATTCATGAATTCCTCGCTATGTATATAGCAAGTCACCGATTATTGTGAAGCAGGTGCACAATTCATATGTCTTTGTGTATACTTGTCCATAGTAGGAAGACGACATAGACCCAGAGGTGACATACCTTTCGCCTGGTGATCAGTCATCGGTACGAATATTTCAAGCACATTATTTCAAGGTTGCTTTTCAATGTCATTCTCCAAAAAGAGAACATGAATGATAAATGACTCATGAGCCGAGGCAAGAATTACAAGGAAAATAAAAATAAAGCTCTTGGTTAAGTCAGTATTTGTAAGATGAAAACACAAATCCTTAGAACTACGTGAATAATTCTGAACAAGTTTTTATGACTTGTAAAAGACACCGACCGTCAAAACGTTGTCACCTGTGGGTTTGATGGTTCAATAAAAACCCTTATTTAAAAGCGGAGTGCTAAGGATTTGTTCTTTCATCTTCATTGGAGAACGGGGACAGAATCACATCTGACCTAGCACCTCCACTTAAATTATGTAACAAGTGAGTGCCTGCCATAGTATTATAGAATTTTTACAGAGAAAGTAACAAATATATATATATATATATATATATATATATATATATATATATATAAAATAGAAACATTTAGTAAATGAAATCATGGGTAGCTTTGTTAATTATCGCTGGGTGCCGCTTTTTGTATATGTCCAAGTTAAACACAGAGGTAAAGAAATCTTGGTCTAGCACTATCGACCCATTGCTTAGGTCTTCCAGGTGCCAGTTGTATGGCTGTTTTGTTTCTGGATTTTCAGATCATTAAATGAGTTGTGGTTAAATTGTTCACTGTTAAACTTTTTGAGATGTGGTACAGTTAGTAACAATGCTGGCTTCCTAGCGTACTTAACCCTTTAGGCAGCAATGTCACCTCCCCTCCGAAATGAGTATTTCATAAAGATAAAATATTTATGAAATACTCAGATTGACAGTGTTGGGATTTCACCAAAATCCCAACCCAGTCAAAAGATATACTGAGACATAGTAGGGACTACTTGGATCTCAGTATATTTCCTCCTCATGACAAAGGTTGACACTGGGCAAAGCAACCAATATCAAGCCATGTCATTTCCCCCAGTTGTCACCAGTGACGGCTCTAGAGAAATTAGCACTTCCAGTGGAGGATCCCGTGGAAGACGATGGCAGTTCCTGCAAGGGGCAGGTTCAGGAAAGTAAAACTCATCCTTACCTATCTCCCCTTCGGTCCCACCACCAGACACCCAGCGGCAGTATCACCACCGGGGGTCTTTAAATGTTATTTATGCAAAGTTTCTAGACTGTGACAGCTCTTCTTTAACTATTAAGTTTGCTTAAGGCTCTTTCCTTGCCATTGAGACATTTCTCTTGAAGATGCAATTGTATAGCTTCAGCTTCTCTTTGATAGTGCAATACAGTGGCGTACATACCAGGGTCGCAGGGGTCGCGGTTGCGACCGGGCCCGGCCCACCAGGGGGCCCGGCCGCCCCTGCGACCCGGTATGTACCCACAGGGCCAGCCTCTTCACCTGGGGGGCCCAGGAGCCGACCACCCCAGGGCCCCCCGAGGCTGGCCCTGCTGACACCAGTCAGGCGGGTGGCCGGGCGGGCAGGCAGGCAGGCAGGCGGGCGCGCGAGGGAGCACTCAGTGCTTCCTCTTCAGCTCCCTCGCGTACCGCACTGATGCTGGAATCTTCCGGCGCCGGCATCCCTACGCGGCGCACGAGGGAGCTGAAGAGGAAGCACTGAGTGCTCCCTCGCGAGCCCGCCTGCCTGCCTGCCCGCCCGGCCACCCGCCCAGGAGCCCAGCAGCACCACTGGACCCCAGGGAATCCCCCCAGCACTCCAAAAGGTAAGGAGGCTGGGGGGATTATATTTAAAAAAACATGTGTGAGTGTGTTAGAGTGAGTGTGTTAGAGTGAGTGTTAGTGTTAGAGTGAGTGTGAGTGTTAGAGTGAGTGTTTGAGTGTGAGAGTGAGTGTTTGAGTGTGAGTGAGTGTTTGAGTGTGAGAGTGAGTGTTAGAGTAAGTGTTAGAGTGAGTGTTAGTGTGTGTGTCTTAGTGAGTCTGTTTGATGTCTGTTAGTGAGTGTGTGTTTGTCAATGAGAGTGTATGTTTTGTAAGTGAGTGTGTGAGTGTGTATGTATGTCTGTCGCTGAGTGTGTCTCTGTTAGCTAGTGTGTATGCGTCTGTAAGTGAGAGTGTGTGTGTGTCTTCAGCGCCGGACTCCCTTGGCGCTGGGGATCCCTCAGCCTCTCAGCTCGGAATGAGACCGCGCACGCATTCAAACCGCCCATAGGAAAGCATTACTCAATGCTTTCCTATGGACGTTCAGTGTGCTCCTCTAGCGGCTGTCAGTGAGACAGCCACTAGAGGCTGGATTAACCCTCAGTGAAACATAGCAGTTTCTCTGAAACTGCTATGTTTTCAGCTGCAGGGTTAAAACTAGAGGGACCTGACACCCAGACAACTTCATTGAGCTGATGTGATCTGGGTGTCTGTAGTGGTCCTTTAAAGGACCACTATAGTGCCAGGAAAACATACTCGTTTTCCTGGCACTATAGTGCCCTGAGGGTGCCCCCACCCTCAGGGACCCCCTCCCGCCCGGCTCTGGAAAGGGGAAAAGGGGTAAAACGTACCTTTTTCCAGTGCTGGGCGGAGAGCTCTCCTCCTCCGATCCTCCTCTTCTCCTCCCCGTCGGCTGTATGCGCACGCGCGGCAATTCATAATGCTTTCCTATGGACGCTGGCGTGCTCTCACTGTGAAAATCACAGTGAGAAGCACGCAAGCGCCTCTAGTGGCTGTCAATGAGACAGCCACTAGAGGATTAGGGGGAAGGCTTAACCCATTCATAAACATAGCAGTTTCTCTGAAACTGCTATGTTTATGAAAAAATGGGTTAACCCTAGCTGGACCTGGCACCCAGACCACTTCATTAAGATGAAGTGGTCTGGGTGCCTAGAGTGGTCCTTTAAGTGTGTGTGCATCTGCATGCACTGGCTTACATACCGCGGTCGCAGGGGTCGCAGCCCTGTAACCCCTGCGACCAGGTGCCCACCGCCATGTGTTGCGGCCTGGCCCGCGCGCTGGGGGGGGCCCACGGATCAATTTTCGCACCGGGGCCCCATGGGTCATGTGTACGCCACTGGTGCAATATGTCCTCTTCTTTACTGTTTGTGGCTCAGGGTCTGGATATCCTCATCTCTTGAGCCTTGAGCAGTCTAATCCAAAATAATTTTAAAATGTTTTTTAATGATTCCAGACTTTCTGATCAGACATGAGATTCCTTAATTGATTTAAAAGGACCCCTCAAGGACACACGTCTGACCTTTAGTCTGTGATTCCCTCCCAGCACCCAAGAATTAAGATTTAATTCTGGGAAAATAAAATGTAAAATGGGAAAAATATCTTACACCCTGCAATAGACTTTACCTTCTCATATCTCACAGTCATCACAATACTCTAATTCCCACAATTAACTGAACCAATACTTTCTAAATTCATTCCATCCTGATGCCCAATTCATGAGGTTAGTAAAATAGCGTGGTTCGGTCACATTCTTCTCCTATTTAAAACTTCTTCGCATTCCACGGGCATGACACACCTTTACCCTAATCAGAAATCAATGCAAATACCTTTCATGAACCATAAAGTGCGTAGTAAAGAAGGCGTTAACTCCAAATGGAGAAACCAAACCTAAATAGATTAAATATAATGCTGTGTTAACAGAAAAAAAATTCATACTCTCGATCACATAAATACTTAAGCTACAGGGCCCACACAGAGGAATGCAAGCTACTCCTATAGCAGTGGAAAAGGGAACATAGTAACAACAAAACATGTAAGTGTATTTCTTTTAAATAGACAATACACTGTCTAAATAATTTAAAACCTTTTTTTCTAAATCACTGTTTAGTACGTATACTGCCAATTAAAGCATGATTTTAATTATGCATCCTTGTCTGCAGCCTTTGTCAACAGTCACTCAGACGGCCTCTAGAGGTGCTTCCTGGGTTAGTGCTTCACACTGTGCAGCACCTACAATAATGTTCCCTATACGGATGCATTGATTCAATGCATCTCTATGAGAAGTTAGATTGCCCCAGTGGCATTTTGCCGTACATGCGCAATAGTCTCCCAATGCTTTGCTATGAGGAAGCATTGGATTGGCTGAGATCGTCAAGATTGAGGATTTAAAGCCATGGAGGTGGGGCCAGCCACAGCATGGAAAAAGGTGAGTAAAAAACAAAAACAAAACCCTTTCCCATGTGATTGGAGGGAACACACACTGACCGACTCAGACTCACTCACAGACAGACACAGAGACAGACACTCAGACCAACACTCCGACAGACACACACTCACAGACATACTCACAAACACACACACTCAGACAGACACATACACTCAGACACAGTCACTCACAAGTAATTACTTTTTTATTTAAATTTAAATCCACCCAGCCTCCCTATCTTTAAAGAGCTGGAGAGAATATGCTTTCCCTGGGGTCTAGTAGCACTGCTGTCATCTCGCTACTTGGCTCCCTCTCACGCACTACTTGGTGAGCCGGGGGCCAGAGTGACATCATAACCCAGCTCCGGGAATCACTGCAAGCCGCGCAAGGGAGCAGAGCAGGGAGATTACAGCTCCTTCGCCGTGGCACTAAGTCAGCCATCCGCCTCCCTCTGCTCTCCATTACCCGGCTGCTCCCCTCCGTCAGCTGCCCACCTTTTCTACCACAGCTCTCCATGGGCCAGCCACCCCTCTCCATCCCTCTGCAATAAATGAGCTGGCCACCCAATTCCCTCTGTCAGCCGCCTGCCTTCCTTCCACAGCTCTCTATGAACTGGCTGCCCCCTCCCTCCTTCAGCAGCCTGCCTGCCTCAGTCCTCAGTGATCCCAATGCCTGCCTCTGCTCTCAGGCAGCTGATCATCGTGGGGGCTGAACATATATATATTTTGATATAATACACATATATTAATATACATTTGTGCAAATATATAGATGCATAATACTCCCACAAATCACCAAATCACATAGATAAAGCAAAACTATATAAAACGATATATAATTTTTTTTAATTTCAATTTATTTTAAATTTAAAAAAAAACATAGACAGACACATGGATATTTAATTAATAAATACTCACTGGCACACACACCGGCGTGTAGTCACTGATGCCCATACATACTGACATATACTCATCAACAGACACTGGCACGCAAACTAATGCTGCATCCCATACAAACACTGGCACACAATCACTAATGCATACACACTCTCTGACATACACACACATTGATCCATACTGACACACACACACACATTGATCCACACTGACACGTTGATCCATACGGACACACACACACATAAACACACACACACATTGATCCACACTGACACATTGATCCATACTGACACACACACACATTGATCCACACTGACACATTGATCCATACTGACACACACACATTGATCCACACTGACACACACACACATACACATTGATCCATACTGACACACACCCACATTGATCCACACTGACACACACACACACATTGATCCACACTGACACATTGATCCATACTGACACACACACACACACACATTGATCCATACTGACACACACACACATTGATCCACTGGCACACATACATTGATCCGCTACTGACACACACACACACACAAACACACACACACGGTGATCACAACGCAACTTTATGGCAGTCCACGCGGCTTTTTACATACATTGATCCATACTGACACACACATTGATCCACACATTGATCCATACTGACACACACATTGATCCATACTGATCCATACATTGATCCATACTGACACATACATTGATCCATACATTGATCCACACATTGATCCACACATTGATCCATACTGACACACACAAACTAATCCATACATTGATCCATACATTGATCCATACTGACACATACATTGATCCATACATTGATCCATACCGACACATACATTGATCCATACTGACACACACATTGATCCACACATTGATCCATACTGACACACACATTGATCCATACTGACACACACATTGATCCATCCATACTGACACACACACACACACATTATCCACACTGACACACACACATTGAGCCACACTGATATAGCCATTTATATAGTATTGATCCATGCACTCACACACACACACACACACACACACACACACACATTGATCCATACCTGACACACACACACACACACACACACACACACACACTGATCCACACACACTGACACACACCACACACACATTGATCCACACTGACACACACACACACACTGATCCACACTGACACACACACACACACATTGATCCATTCTGACACACACACACACACACACACACACACATTGATCCATACTGACACACACACACACACACACACACTGATCCATACTGACACACACTACAAAAAAACACACCAAACACACTCACAACTACACCCTCAAATATAAACACTCTAAGAATCAGTATAATTAAAATGAAATGCCTGGGTGCCTCTGCTCACTGAGCCTACCTTGCTCCTTCCCAGCATCTTCCCTCCAGCTCTCTCACAGGGCTCCCTGCCTCACAGCACTTTACACACAGGAAGCAAGACTTTGGAAGACCCGTGTGGGCATCCCTGCTCTGCCTGATTGCCAGGTCAGGCAGTGACAGAGACTGCCATCCTCCCTGCACTTACTCCAGGCTCGCGAGCAGCATTGAAAGTTCTATTTACTGCACCTGGATAAGGAAAGCCTCTTCTAGAGGTAAGAGGAGATCTGTGCTCCCCAGTATCCCCAATGTGAGTGTGTACTGGGTGGGGAGAGGAAGGGCTGCTGCACTGTGCCGCCCCAAGTGCCACGGCCCACCGGGAAATTTCCTGGTATCCCGGTGGGCCAGTCCGGCCCTGCAAACCAGGAAGTAACAGGAACAGTTGTCTGATTCACAACCATGGGGGTGTAACTAGGTTCATTTTAAAAAGTGCCAATGTCTATTGAAATCTTCACATTTTGTAAAATGAAAATAGAGGACAAGCTCTTCACACATAGAGCACTTCAGCAGCTAAAGTACTTTATCTGTGTGGAGTGGTCCTTTAAGTTTGGAAACATTTTCTACCCATTTAGAAGTTTCCTTTCCTACTGTAGTAAGAATTCATTAGGAACAGGATGCCCCAGATGCTCCACTCAGTGGTGGAGCTACCGCTGGTGCAGCCAGTGCACTACACCAGGACTTGCACGCTGGTGTGTGCCAGCAGGTGGCCCATGCATCAGGGCCACACAATGGGTAGTATTTCTTTATTGCTGAACAGGGGTTTGGTTGGGCACTGTGGTCCTTTAAGAGCATGACCGACCCCCTGTAATATTGGTTAGCTTGGTGGAAGTAAATAACAGCCACTTCCTCCCAGCTTCATACAGAGCGCCGGGCAGGGTGGAGGGAGGGAGGGAGGAAGGATACGGCAGCGGCACTGGCAGTAGAGAGGAAAGAAGCACAGAAGTGAGCTGATGCAGACCCACGCACACTCTCTCATCAGCCTTAGCCATCAAGAGTAGGACCCCAACAAAGCCACCCTCCTGCACACAACAGGTAAGCTAACAGTAGGGTGACTGCAAATATAAAAAATATTACATGTTTGTGTTTTTGTATGTCAGAATATGTGTGCGTATATGTGTCAAGGTATGTGTATGTGTCAGTTTGTGTATCTGTTTAGATGCGCATCACATGACCCTGATTTTTTCGTTGTTACTCAACACACATAGTTTTTAAGCACACATTATCATTTCTGTAAGGTGCCTAACACATTTGATAGTACTTTTTTTTTTACTTTTTGTTGTTTTAACTTGCTCAACATATATGGTTAATTATTCTACATGGTAACTTGATTGGGATCACGATTACGTGACCATGGCATCATTTTGTAGCGAATTTCAGTTTTTTCTTCTGCTATAAAACCCACTATGCCAGGTCCCCCAGTAGTTCACTTTTTAAAGGTGAAACACATTGTGAATTATTTTGTTTTGTTTTTAATATTATAACAATAAAGTATTTTGGCTTATACCCATATTGGATATGCCATACATTTTCTTTTTTGTTATTTTAATATTTGTATTCTTCTTCCTGGCTTTCCTTGAGTAGTATTTTGCCAAAGACTTCTGGGTGTCTGATCCTTGGTGTGGACTATACCGCATATGCTGTTAAAATAGAGCGGCTCAGTTACTCTAACAAATGTGAGTACGGTTTTCATATCTTTTATGTAGTTACCATAACAGAGAGCAGTATATTGTTTCTTTTTTCCTTTTATGGTTTTAATTGTGCTATTAAAGAGACTATGGTGACTTGATATTCTTAAGGTGGTGATTGTGCCACCCTAAACTTGAAATTGTGAGTTGAGATATAAGTTACCCCTCCTTGTGAGTATATATCTTACTATCAATACCACTCACAATCAAAGTTGCAATATCACACTATTTAAATTTTTCCTCTCTTTGTTACATACCCATCACTGAGTACTACCTGAAGATCAGGCAATTAACATACATATCCACAAGTGTGAATTCTACCACTGCACACCGTTTGATACAAGACCTGGTTGGAAGCTCCATCACATGTGAGTGGGTATTCACGCATGTGTTATATCGCATATCAAAAAATATTGCACCATTGGTTCTTCTTTCTGTTTTTTTACACGTACCCACAGAGAATATTTCAAGTTTTATAAGAAGGAAGACCTGCTGGCAAAAAAAGAGAAAAGTACTTTTGGACTGTGTCCTTTTAATTTTTTCCAGACATTTTATATCATTTTCTCACTCTAAGATATCGTCTATTTGTTATTCGGTGCAACCTGTTCTTTTGTTTTGTTTGTGTGTATCATTTGGAGTATTTAATCCCCTTCCTCCAATGTTTGCTGCCGCAGGTAATCTATTGTCCAATTATCTAGCATTTATATAATTTGTATTTGTTTGCTCCACATAGGTTCCTACCTGCAACTTTGCTTCGATCTGGCTTGCTAGTGTATTTTTGCATTTGCTTGCATTGCTCAAGACATCCACACATTTCAATGTTTAAAACTGACAGGAAAAAAACCCATTGTATCTACCCTAAATATGTATTTTTTTTTTTTTAAACCATTGTTGAATATGGAAAACTTGAGTAGTTAGAATTGTGCTGTAAAACATTGTTTAAATGAAGAGACCCATAGTGGCATTTTATATACATGCCTGGATTCCAACAATAACTTATCGGGTTCTAAGCTCACTCTAAGCTCCTTATTAGTAAGCAAGCTGCATATGGTGCGTCTTCACACAGTAATTGGATTTGAATGTAAGTAGTACAAAGCAATGGATGGCAGGGCCCCTGAAAGCACTCATGGGTTAAAATGCTTACAGCTGTCTCATTCACTGTATGCATTCTATATTGGTGAGAAAGATGTAAAGAGCCAATAAGTGGGAGCACATGCCGTCATGGCCATCTGGCCTTCATTTCAGAGCTTTTAAACTTATTTCAATGTTAAATACTTGTATTCCTCAAGTTTGTCATGTTTCATTCAGTTTGAGGTATTCCCTGCGGTTTAGTGCCAATATCTCCGATTTCTGACATCTCTAGGCTGTCAGGTAGCTGATGTTTGAGGCACAGTACGAGTTGTTCATGATTTTTATTTGTGACCTTTACCGAACAATAGAGTTTTTTCATGCATTGATACAAGATGGAATATAATAAAAACCTTTTGTAGCGTGTTTCACTGTATGAAGTTCAGTACTCAGAAATTATTATTATTATTGAAATAATAAGTCTAATATTTTCCAACCATCAGAACCCTTCAGTAAAATAGGGAATAAAAAAAAACAAAAGCAAGTGCATGAACCATCACACGTTCAAACAATCTTTCCAATTTTAGGCTAGAATAACCCACCGCTGACCTGCCAAGTTAGGAAGGAGCAGTTAGGATAGAGCCAGCAGATGGGTGTGTCTGTGCCATTTGGCACATGGGTGCCAGTGTGACGGGCTAAGTGATACTGTGGCTATAGGTTTGAATATACTGCTATTCATTTCAAGTGGACGGAAAATTGTGTGAATTGGCATTTCTGCCATGGACAAAAGGCACAGCGGGATTGGAGATTAAGTTTTTAAATTGTTCTTTTTTGGCCGTTTTAAGGTAAGGTTCCCAACACTAGATATTATTAATGCAGAAAATGAACAATGCTGTTCATTTTCTGTATTTGTTTATTGTAATGGTGGTGAAATTTAAATTATTTATTTCACTGGTGATCTAGCTGCACTTTTGTATTTCATTTCTTTGCAGAATTATTTTTGTTGGCGAATACATTCTGTTTTGCACTCTGTTTGATCACTAGGATGACTCTTTTTTATTTCTTTCTCTCTGATTTTTGTTTACATTTTCCAATACTGCGCTCCTCCTACAACCTATGCATTCTATCCCAATTCCCTCTTCGTATAGTTCAATACTTCTCTCCCTCGGGGGGGGGGGGGGTTCCACACCCTTCACCTATGTTGCATCAGGAAGAACTATACTTTTAATATTTATTTTTTTATAAAGAAAACTGCTTCTTGAAGTAGCAGCCTGATGCAAATTTAAGAATCATTTTAAAAAAACCACTA